TCCTACAGTTCCCTCTAGTTGCCATTGTATGCTTCCGTCTGACCAGACGCCTGTTAATTAGAGCCCTGACCTCTGGCTCAGTACAGTGTTTTCCTCCTCCATTTGCTACAATTGGGATGAAAGTTGAACTATTAGAGGGTTCCATTCCTGATGTAGAGATACCGGTGTCAGGCGGGAAGGAAAAGCTATGTGGATTACATATATCAGGCAACGTAAATAGTTGGACATATTAATAATGTGGGGTGTATGTCAGTATATACACATACAATTTTATAATTTGCTTATAGAAGGCAATATAATGACATAAGAAAATTGGTTTGTAGATAATTCTTCTTTTGAGATAGGAAAGGTGTGAACAGTTCCTTTTCCAACAGTTTGTCAAATGGTTTCCGTGGGCTACGTTTTGGAGTCTCTTGAGTCTAAAAATTACTCCAGTGCCTCCGTCTGCAGATTGTGACTCTAGTGCACATCGGGGGTTGAAAACCAAGGCTGCTGGTGAGCAGAGGGCCTGGGAAAGCCACACGGGATGTTCAGTGCTTCCTTAGTCCTTGTGGGGTTAGAGACAAAACAGGTGGCCGTGTAATGAGATTTCATGTACTTATTTTTGCAGTATCCGAGGATTGAACACAGCGTACCGCTGAACCATAGCCCCAGTCCTTTGTAGTTTTTATTTTGAGTGGAGTTGCTCAGGCTTGCTGTGAACTTGCCATCCCCGGCCTCAGACACCCTAGTAACGGATTACAGATGTATGCCACTGTGCCTGTCTTCGTTCATTTATTTATTTTAGTTACTTTCATCTTTTTTATTAATTGTTAGTCTCTGAATGGTAGAGAAGTGTCAGGAATTCCTTAATGTCTTACTCATAGGCAGTGTGTCTCCACCTAATTGTAAATTCTCTAATACACAATAGTGCCTTCAGTTCATTTTATGTTAATGGCATTAATTGATCTTACACTTGACATCATACTGGTGGACACCCAGATTGTGTTCTTGGATTTTATGTTGTTGTCTAGGAAAGAGGAAGTCTAGACCCCAGCACCTATGAATGAGTTCTAGGGGTTACATTAGTGTTCTGTGTGAGGGATGAGAGGGCAGCAAAGGAAACCTTTCATGAAACATGTCTAGATATTTTAAACATTTAAGTGACATTTACTTAAAGCTAAATTTAATTAAAGCTACTGCAAGCCTTTCTGCAGGCATGCTTGGGAGTACAGTGACACTAAGACGGGAGCCGTTTGTGGGAAGGTCCGTTTCGGTGGGGGAAGGGTGTGAGGGCCCTACACAGAGACAGCTAAGCTGTAAGTCTGCACAGGCCCGGTATTAGAGTAAAACTGAGTTTGGAGCCAGAGGGGTTATCGAAAGGGTTAGAAGATCCTTGAAGTGGAGGCATTGGTGTCTGCATCAGACAAACCTCAGGTTAAAATCAGAAACTTGCATTTCAGAAGCTAAGTGATTTTTGTTAGTATTTCAAGCATCTCAGTGATACAGAGTCCGGGGGATGAACTACATAAAATGCTGAAGCTGCTGTTTAACATGGTAGTGACTGCATCAACGACTGGTGTGGGATCACAGATGGAGAGGATATTTGTAAGTGGGGTGGGATGCATGGACAGTGGGGGTTATAGATACTCTTGCACAAGTCTGCCCTAAAAAAGCAGTTGTGAGGCTTCAGCTGTGGGAGAAGTCTCATTGTCACCACTGGTTCCCCGTCTGCTTGGTGGTGCGTACTGCTTCCATACACAGTGAGCGGATTCTTTATAGATAGTGTTGGACTTAACACAGGAGATCAGAATCTTGTTTAATGTCCATTAAATCATCAATTTTCATTTTACTTCTTACAGTGGAGTTTTTCTTCCAAACAAATGGTGAAGCGTTATTACCAGTTCTTTGTATTTTAGTGCTCTCATTTATACATTTAGGAAAGTGATTAACTAAAACGGAGCAGAAAGTTGTGTCTTGTTTGGAGCTTTGCCAAAAAAATTTTTTTTGAACATTATTTTCGATATTTTCTCTTTTTTGGCCCTCAAAATGAAAACCTAAGATTTTAGAACCCAATCCCTGTGTAGAAACCATATTAGACATAGCTGGCACTAGCAGTCATTGTCATTTTAATGTGCTTTTTCTGTATCTCACAGATGTAAAAGGATGATTTCCGACCTCTTCTTAAAAATTCTTAGGGGCTGGGGATTTAGCTCAGCGGCAAAGCGCCTGCCTGGCAAGCGCAAGGTCATGAGTTCGATTCCCGGTACCAGAAAAAAAAACTACAAAAACAAAACAAAACAAAAAATTCTTTTATAACCTTGCTATCTCAGGCCATATTTATCGTAGGAACACAAGTCCTGCACTCTCGCAGTTTGTAAAACTGTAAAACAAAAGAATGGTACTTTTTCTTCTTACCTTCAGGGATCTCTGCGTGAGCTCAGTGTGGCCAGGTGCCTGCTGCTTGCATCCTCCTCTGTGGGCTGTGCGGCGGGTCCGCCCTGCAGGATTGCATCCAGATCATAGCAGAACTTCAGTCTCAGAGCTGTCTCCAGAGTTGGGGGCATATTTAACTTCTGTATTCGAGTTTGAGCTTTTCATACCTTGCCTGGCACTGTTTCCAGTCTGCGTACTCCTAGCGAGTGCAGCCTTTTAGCAATGTAAATGAATATTCCTTTATTTCTCAGTGTTCCACACAGTCCTTGTGGTGTATTTTTCTGCCCAGACACTTAGCAGAGTTTCACCCTCCTCCTCAGGCCAGTGCTTCCCTGCTCTGCTCGCTCTCCATGTTGAAAGTGACCTGGATATGATTCACTCTTTCTAGCCTGGGTTCCATTTCCTAGGAAGCCACAAGTTCGGTTGTAGATAAGCTGCTAAGAGCTGGAAAAGATGTAGCTTGACTGGTTAAGGCTGCCTGAGGGAGTAAGTTGAGGAGTTACCAAGGGAGCTGCCTTTTGATTAAAGGAGCCTGGAGCTGAGTGATTGCTGACCTCACTCATTTCAGCTTCAAGGGAAGTCTACCCTTGGGACCAAAGGGAGAGAAAACCATTTTTTACCAATAACTGATTTTTTAAAAATTGTTTGGAAATGTTTGGCAGAGGGTTTTCGTTTTTTTTGAAGTTTTTGGTGAATGTTGATAGCTGTATATTAAAAAACATATTTTTATGAGGTTTATATCTATTTTTTCTGTGACATGAATCACCTGGTCTTTTTTTTTTTTTTTTTGTCTATTTGAGACAGGGGCTCTGCTATGCAGTTCAGAGTGACCTTGAGCTGACTTTGTAGACCAGGCTGGTCTCCAACCCACAATGAGCCTCCTGCCTCAGCCTCCTGAGGGATTATAGGTGTGCTCCACCATGCCTGGCCCTTTTTTTCCCCCACCTGGGCTTATAGGTTAATTTAAAGACTACATTATTTCCCTAAATAAATGCTAAGTCATGACTTAGTTTCATAGAGTTTATAGTGTTATGCATATTTATTTCTATTTTAGTATTTAATGCATTGATAATTCAGTAAAATCATGTCATTTTTTTAGATTTTTATTTTAAAAAAGCAGATTTTTATTTTTCAAGTATATTTGTCATTTTTATCATGAATAAATTTCCTTAATTATGTAATTTTGAGAAAGAACCTTTTTAAATAAATCAACATGTTAGCAATTGTTACGAGTATGCATACCCGTATGGAGGAGATGTACTTTTTTATTTTATTTTTTATTTTTTTGTCTTTTTGAGGCAGGGTCTCTACTATGCAGTTGAGGCTGGCCTTGAGCTCACTTTCTAGCCCAGGTTGGCCTCAAACTCACAGCGATCCTCCTGCCTCAGCCTCATGAGTGCTGGGATTACAGGTGTGCAGCACCACGCCTGGCTTTTTAAAAAATCATGTTCCATAAAATTATTAATGCAGGCAAATGAGTCGCAGGCATGGAAAAGGGTGCCTACTCAGCAGATTTTCAGAAGTAGACTTTATGTTTTGTGGTACTAGGGATCAAATCAGGTATCTGAAATGCTAGGGAAAGTACCCCTGAACCACATCTCCTGTATTATTTTTAATATTATATTTTTGGTTTTGTGTTTTGTTTTTAATTTATTTTAAAAATAGAAGGAAAACATATTAACAGACATCCATTTAAGAAATAGCACAAGAATGATACAAACAATACAGACTTAAAGACAAAGTGGTAGAGATTAACAATGGTTGTTGTATTACATACTGATATCTTCAGAGTGGTTTCTCAGGAAAGCAAATAGAGACATGCAAAATAGATCAAAAAAGTAATCATTAACTGTCCCTTTCAGTGAAGCAATAGAAGTCAGTAGTACAACTGTGTTAGCTATCCTGTTGTTTGTATATACTTTTGAGGAAAGTCCACCCATGAGAAGGAGGTGCGACTCCGATTCCAGGGAGCAGTGTCTGATGGAGGTGCTGGGAGGCCAGGTCTGCCCACTGCGCGCCCTGCTCTGTCGCAGACCGCGGCGCCCTGCTCGGCTTGTTCACTTGTCCTCAGCCCCTGGCACCTGAGTTAACCCTGGACCGGGGAGATAGCTCAGTGGTTTAAGCGCCTGCCTGGCAAGTACAAGGGCCTGAGTTCTATTCTCGGTACCAAAAAAAGAGAAAACAAACCTTACTTAACCCTATTTGTACAGAAGTTAGAACCCGCGTTCTGGAATTGGGCGGTCTGTTCTGTAACCCTAGCTGTATCACCTGCCGCTCTGACACGGGCAGGTTCCCACCACAGTGCGCTGCTCCGGGAAGTGGTACAGCTACCTTACAGGATTGTGGTGAAAGCCAAAGGAGACCATTCGTGTGAAAATGTGGTGGGGCGGTACCCGACATATTACTTAAAGCTGGAGGACAGTATCATCCTGCTAATGTCGTTTGCTGCTATTGCCAACATCAGCGTCATTAACAGAAGCAGTACTGGTTTTCTAAGTAGCATTTAATGTGTTACCAGGTAGTTTGTGATGCTTGTGAAGATAAGTATGCTTGATTTAACAGTTTATCTCTTTGTGTGTTCACAGGGGTCAAGAGAGTGCTGGTATTGTGACCAGTGATGGGAGTTCAGTGCCAGCATTCAAAATGCATAAGGTAAATTTGAACATTAAAAAATGTCGACGAGACTGGGCGTGGTGGCACACACCTGTAATCAGGAGGCTGAGGCAGGAGGATCCTGGCAAGTTTGAGACCAGCCTGCACTACAAAGTGAGCTCAAGGCCAGCCTGAACTGTGTAGCGAGACCTGTCTCAAAAAGACCAAAAAAATAGAAATGTTGATGATAAAAATAACAATTTGTCATCATTAGTATACTGGGGAAAGGAGTCCTGAATAAACAAATTGCAATTAAGAGGGATACTCTTTGGATCATCCATTTCCAACTTTATAACGTTTATCAAATTAGGATGTATTTCTTTCCAGTGTTAGTTTGCTGTCTAACTCAAGTAGTAGGCCATTTCTTTAGATACTGCACGATGCTTTGATTTTTGTAAAATGCGAAGTTCCATTAATATTTTAACAGATTTTGTTGTCTTAGTATTGTCCATTTGTTAAGTGTCTTACGAAACTAAATGTGCTGATGAAGTTCACAGACCAGATGATTCAGCATTATGACTGTCCAAAGTGCCACTGAATCGTTCACTTTAAAATGGCTAATTTATGTGAATTTCGCCTCCGTGCCCATTTTTAAAGTAAACGCTGCAGAGTTCTTACAATTAGCTTCCTCATTTTCCTTTCTGAGATCAGAATTGTGAAGTACAGAGGAATTAAGTGACCTGTGCTACCTAGGATTCCCTGACAGAGAGGCCTTTGTTACTCACTAGCAGTACTGTCTCTGTTTTTCTAAGACGGTTTTTACTTTGACTTCTCAAGGGAATGGGTCTGGTAAATCACGTTTTTACTGACGACAACTTGAAGAAGTTGTATGTTTCAAATCTTGGAATCGGACACACGAGATACGCCACCACAGGGAGATGTGAGCTGGAGAACTGCCAGCCCTTTGTTGTTGAGACGCTCCACGGGAAGATAGCCGTGGCCCATAACGGCGAGCTGGTGAATGCTGCTCGGCTAAGGAGAAAGGTAAGTTGTTATGAATGCAGGAAAAGAAGGTGCAGATCTTGGCAGAGGACATTTCCTCCGTCATTGGTGCCACCTGCTGCGTAGCTGTAGCAAACAGTTGTGTAAGGGTTACCCGGAGTACGTGTCACGATTCCAGCTTCTAGGTGAATTGGGAACACTTCAGTGTACTATTAAGGTGAATCGCTGCTGTAAAAAGTTGAGATTTGGGAAAGCTGATTGGTGGTTGCTGTTAGAGACACAGAATTTAGGAGTTGTGGGCTTTACTAGCCCTTGAAGCTCTGTGTTCTTACAAGCTGGTATGGGACAGGAAAAGCCGAACTACTCTTCCTGCTTCAAACTTACTGCAGCACACTTCCGCGACCAAGGGTGGTTTCTCCACGCTCGGTCTCCCAGATAACACCAACTATGGTGTCCTGTAGTTCAGTTCAACCTGTAGCTAGGGACAGTTCCCGTAGGTTCGGAGCGTATTCCCATAAGACTGCCTTCCACTTCAGGTGCATCACCAGCCAGGCCTCTGGTACATCTGACCTGCTTCATATACACAGTTTCCACGTTCCCTCCTTGGCTTCAGTCATTTGCTAGAGCAGCTCAGAACTCAGGACAGTGCTTTACTTACATGTACCAGTTGATCATAGAGGGTGTTAAAAGGGTATGGAAGAATTAGATGAAGAGAGGATCGGGCTAGTTACATGGAAAAAGGCAAGGAGTTTCGATGTCCTTTGAGAACCACCCTCTCGGCTAGGCACTTCCAGGTGCTCAGCTATCTGGAAGCTCTCGGAACACAATCCCTCTGAGTTTTTAGGGGGGCCTCACTGAGTAGGCATGATTGATGAAGCGGTTGGCCTTGATGATCACCTTAGCCTTCAGCCCCTCTGCTGCTCACTTGGGAGGTCTGGTGTAAAGCCGAAGTTCCAAACCTCTAATCACTGACAAGCACTCACTCTCTGAGGTTATGTAGGAGCCCTTAGCCACCAGTCATCTCATTATCATGCAAAATACACTTCTTTTGGTGGTTCCAGCAGTTCTAGGAGCCAAGGACCCTAGGCCACAAATCAGCATAGAGTTGGCTCTCTGCCCCTGCCCATGCCCCAGATCCAGGTCAGAAATGTTCTACGATGGAGGTGGGGGTGCAGTCAGAAAATGCGTCCTAGACCGAGCGTGTTCTTAGGATTCCTTAAAAGACAGCATAGCAGCTAACTGCATAGCATTTACATTGTCGGAAATGGTAAGTAATCCGGAAATGATTTAAAGTACATAGGAGAGGTGCTTAGGTAGTATATAAATGTTATGCCATTTATAATAAGGGGTTTAAGATTTTGGTTCTGCAGGAGCCCTAGAACTAATTCCCCATTGATCCCAAGGGGTAACCATTATATTTCTTTTTATCTGTCACATTATCAAAAGCATAAGAAAAAAGTAGAGTAGTTTCACTTTTCCATATCTTTTCCTTTCCAGTATTCCTTGTCTGAAATACTTGGGACCAGAGATGTTACTTCATTTCTTATTTCTGATTTTGGGATATTTATATATACATAACGAGATAATTTAGAGATGGGCCCAAGTTTAAACACAAAATTATGCTTTAGGTATAGATTATACACATAAACTGTAGGTAGTTTGTGTGTGTGTATGTGTTAATCTCGTACATGCAATAAAGTTTCATGGTGTGGAATTTGTACTTGTAGCATCTCTGTGGCACTCAGAAAGTTTCAGATTTTGGAGCATTTGGGATTTTTGGATTATGAAAGCTCAATCTGAGTATGCTTGCATCATAAGAGAAGCATATGAAGAAAAACAGTGTGTAAACTTGAGGATGACAAATGAGAAAAACCACTTGGAAATGATTACAGTGGACTGGGAGGCTGAGGCAGGAGGATAGCCGTGAGTTCGAGACCAGCCTGGGCTGCACAGTGGGACCCTCCCTCAGAAAAACAAAAAAAGAAATTATTACAGACAACTGAGCTAGAATCTGGGAGTGGGAATGAGGAGTTTTTACTTGAGAAACACTTGGTTCACGTGTTTGGCGCGCTCTGTGCTAATGGCTTATCTGTGTGTGTGCCCACACGCCTCAGCTCTGTTCTTTTTCTAGAGTATGTGGTGTCTTTACCTTCCTGGTAGTTCTTTTTTGGTTCCTACTGTATATGCCACTCATTAATTGATGCCTAGTTTCTTCATTTCATTAGATTCCAGTAATCTTGATTTGGTAACCTCGAGGCCAGGGAGATTTAATAAAACTGGTTACACACAGTGCGTGTTATCCTTTCATCGGTTTAGAGTCAGCGTTGCACATAGGAGAAGCAGTTAACAGCAGGTGAATGATGATGAACTGCTGGGTCAGAAATACCTGCAGCCCACATGTCCTTTCTAAAGGTTTAGCTTTAGCAGAACTTTGCTGCACCCTCTTCATAGTCCATGACATTAAAGTGCTGGGGATAAACAGTTCTGTATACGAATGAGAAAAAGTTCATTTTAAAAATCCAAGCAGTCACCACAGTCTAAATATGAAAAATTACTAAAGTTCATCATGTATGGGAAGCCACCAGGAGTTCAATTCTAAATGCTGTCAAGTTCCGTTTTTCCAGATGTAACTCTGAAGCTTGGTAGACTTCACCCCTACCCAGTTAGGCATCTGCAGAACCCCTGGCTCCTTTCTGTGATGGTGGGCTGCTGGGTGCAGGGCAGGGTGGAGCTTCTGTCTGGTGATGGAACTTTTCTCTCTGTTTAGCTTCTGCGTCATGGTATTGGTCTGTCAACCAGCTCTGATAGTGAAATGATTACCCAGCTCCTGGCGTATACCCCACCTCAGGAGCAAGATGACACCCCAGACTGGGTAGCAAGGTAATTGTGAAACTGGGCTGTGCTAGCTGGGGATGGAGCTCAGCGGTAGAGTGCTTGCCTTGTATGGGCCAAGTCCTGGGTTAAGTCCCCAGTACCACGAAAGCAAAACAAAACAAAATGAATGCATGCAGATCTCACAATGAGACCTTTGCCTTGAATATGTTTGTACTTGAAGTGATTGATTGATTGATTAATTCATTCATTCATTCATTCCTTCCAGGATTAAAAACTTAATGAATGAAGCACCCACAGCGTACTCCCTACTTATAATGTACAGAGATGTTATATATGCAGTACGGGATCCTTATGGAATTCGACCTTTGTGCATTGGTCGTCTTATTCCAGGTTCTGATATCAATGACAAAGGTAATGAACTGCAGAGGGAATATAGTTTCATGATGCTTGTCAAAGTCATTGTATTACGCTGGTGAACTCTACAGTCTTTAGCTACAGGAACCCATAGGTGAGAACGGATAGGGAATATAGAAAAGAAATGATATTTCAGGTTTGAAAGTACTTCTCTTTGACTATGTCTGAGGATAAATTCCTGTTTATCTTTTTTCTCTTTAAAATTAAAAAAAATGTGTTACAGAACTTGAAAAAGTATTTTAATGGACATTATTTTAATGGACATTATCCTGTGTGAATTGCTTATTCATATCCTTTTCTTTCCATTTCTGTAATATGATTGTAGTGTTTTGTTTTTTTTTTTTTGACTAATAGGATGTATTGTTCAACCATGAAATTATAGTACTAGAAGTGTAGGGGATTATTTTGTCTTCGGTTTAAGTAAAGTGAGGACCCATGTGTTTTTAACAGCATAGAAATAGCTATTCCATGATCTTTTTTACTTCTCTGTTTGGTGTTTAACTGATCTGTTGAAATAGCTTCTCTTAAAAATTTTCTTGAATCTATTAATTCATTTGATCATCTTATAATTTTCAGAGAAAAAAACATCAGCAACAGAAGGATGGGTAGTGTCTTCAGAATCTTGTAGCTTTCTGTCTATCGGTGCAATGTAAGTTTTAACCTCATTAAGCATATTATCTTTTTCCATATTGATAAAAAATTGTTTGGGAATGATGGTGCACACCATTAGTTCTGGCTAGTCAAGAAGCTGAGACAGGAAGATTGCTGGAGCTCAGGAATGCAAGGCTAGCCTAGACCACATCACGACCCTGTCTCAAAGGGGGTGGGGGCACATAGTTTATAATTTAAAAATGAAGTTTTTCTTTTAATATTTACATGAAAGATTTTTTCCAATGTCTTTAAGAAAACAGGTTTTGGGGGCTGGGGATTTAGCTCAGCGGCAAAAGCGCCTGCCTGGCAAGCGCAAGGTCGTGAGTTCGATTCCCGGTACCGGAGAAAAACCAAAAAAAAAAAGAAAACAGGTTTTGTTCTGCACGTTGTACTCAGCAGCTGTACTGACTTTACTGTTGCAATAATACCTACGAATTCTAAACTGCATCTTTCAAAATACCGGACTTATTTTAGAAAGGAAGAACTTTCTCAGCAAGGAGTAATTATGGTAGAACTTTAGCTAGTATTAAAATATTCTCATTACCCTTTACCTTTTCAAAGTGCAATAAAATACAGGGCCCCTAATTCTGAAATTCTAAATTAGAACTTAGGGAAGTGGTGGCAAACCTTCTAGAGACGAGCCCCCAAAGTGCTATCCAGAGGCACTTCTCCCAAAGTGACAAGGCTGCAGTGAAGCCCTAGGTACTGAGGTGTTTACAAAAAGAATGCATACATTAACATCTTCTGTCTTAAAAGAAAAATAACAAGTGTGCCGTAGACTCCGCCACCACTGACCTAGGGGTAACTGATGTATAGAAACTACCGGTAAAAGGGATATTACTTTCTTTTTGCTTTGTAAACCATCTCTAGACTTTATATTAAAATAATACATTTTTCTCTATAAGGGAGAAACCTCTTTGCTTTATAATTAATGTTTTTATCAACTGTAAGTACTAGTTTTTTGAAACTCTTCTTTAACATTGTTTCCCAAGATACTACCGTGAAATCTTACCAGGGGAAATTGTGGAAGTATCTAGACATGGTGTCCGAACTCTTGATACCGTGTCAAGGTCCAAAGGAAACCCAGTGGCTTTTTGTATCTTCGAATATGTTTATTTTGCAAGACCAGATAGTATGTTTGAAGGTAAGCAGTTTTTTTGCTATTCTTAGAAATCTTCTATTAATCTCACTGAAATATGGCAGTTCTTGGCCCAGAAGTTTACTTGGCTCCTTGAAGGTATGTGATTATGCAGAGTCTGGGGGGAAAAAAAAAAAAAAAAAAAAAAGGAAAGAAAAGAAAAACTTGTGTAAGTACTAAATACTAGCATACTGATGAGACATCATGAGGTTAATGTAAGTTACCTCTGGCCTTCACAATTACAGGAGGCCCTCCGAGCCGTGGCTGTCAGCTTCGACGTTTGTGCAGTGAACTGCTGCAGTGCATGTACATTTTTTTTGGCAGACTGTATGTTGTGGATATATTTTTGAATATCAAGCTACACTCTAGCTCTTCCTTATTTTTCTAATTTTGAGACAGAATCTTGCTAAGTCACTTAGTTGCCCAGATGGGATTTGAATTTATGAGCCTCCTGCCTCAGCCTCTCAGAGTGCTGGGATTACAGGCATGTGATACCATACCTGGCTAGACTTTGTTTTTCTTTCAGGAGTAAGAATTATAATTTTCAGGTATATGAAGTTCAGGGTTTAAAAATACTACATGATTAAATTCCCAGTTGATATATTTCCACTTTGTTTTTGTACATGTTGCTTTTCTTTTCATACTCCACCTGTAGAGTTCCAGCACTAGCTTTTTAGAATAGCAGTATTATATTATGCTAAGTAAAAATAATCTGTTTCTATTTCCAAACATACCAGACCAAATGGTTTATACAGTAAGATACCGCTGCGGTCAGCAGCTGGCCAAGGAAGCACCTGTGGATGCAGATTTGGTTAGCACCGTTCCAGAGTCTGCTACACCTGCTGCGCTTGGTTATGCAAAGAAGGTATTTTCTCTTCATTAGAACACAGTGAATTGCTCTCCTAGCAGTGGAGTAAGATTTTGTGGCCTATAAAGAGAAAGTACTGTGGATTAGCCAGGGTGATAAAAGATCCCAAATCTGAAATGCTCCAGAGTCCAAAACTTCCTGAGACCCAAGCTGATCCCACATGTGGGAAAGTCTGTAAGAGGTCATGGTCAAAGCACAGGCACACTGGAAGTACTGTACAGTATGTAAGTGTATATGTGTACTATATGAAACAAACGAATTTCATGTTTAGACTTGGCTCCTAACGCCAAGGTAATTCATTATATATGCAAGTATTGCAAAATCTAAAATTTGAAATCCTCTTGATGCCAACCACTTCAGATAAAGGACCATCAACCTCTATTACTAAAATCTTTTTTTTTTTTTTTTTTGCTTTATTTAATTGGCCATTTATGGATCTTTTAAAAAGATTCTGGGGGTCGGGGATGTAGCTTAACAGCATAGGCGCTTGTCTGATAAGCCTGAGGTCATGAGTTTGATTTCCAGTACCAAAAAGATAAGTAATAAAATAAAATTTTATGAGAGCCAGGCGTGGTGGCGCACACCTGTAATCCCAGCACTTGGGAGACTGAGGCAGGAGGATCATTGTGACTTTGAGACCAGCCTAGGCTACAAAGTGAGTTCAAGGCCAGCCTGAACTGCATAGTGAGACCCTGTCTCAAAAAGACAACAATAAAAAAGTTACTGTTTTTTTGTTTGTTTCTTTATTTTGTTTTTTTTCCAGTACCGGGAATCAAACTCACAACCTCGCATTTGCCAGGCAGGCGCTGTGCCGCTGAGCTAAATCTTCATCCCCACACAACAAAAAAATTAAGAGTACAGGTTTTCAGTACATAATAATTACATTCATTGTGGGGAGTTGGTGCGTAACACATTAAATCTTTCACTTCCTCTTCTATCCCTCCATAAAATCTTTGTGCCCTGCTCTCACCAGTTGCTAGTAAGACTTTTCCTTCTGAGTTTGGGTAATAACAAAGCTGTTTATCTTCACTGTGGGTAACTTCATTTTCCAGAACTAGGTGATTGTGTATTCTGGTGACCTGAGGGTGTAAAACCCAGTGTTTGTTATCATGGACAGTGTATACACTAGCTTTTCATTGCTGTGTAACAGGCTGTTCCAGAGGCTGGGTAACTTTGTACGGAGACTTGTTTAGCTCTCGGTTCTGAAGTTCAAGGGGGATGCTGGCATCTGCTTGTTTCGGGGGAAGGCATCATGGCAGTGGCACGACAGCGGCGGGGGTGGCGTAAAAGCCAGAGAGCAGTTCTGACACCGGGACCTGCCACTGGGCCCCACCTCCGCGCTGCCATACCGAGCAGCAAGCCTCTTAATAATGAACCTTCAGGGGAAAAACCACATCCAAACCACTGAGCGTTAGTTAACAGGCTTTTTTTCATTCTTTTTTTTTTTTAGACAGGGTCTTGTTATGTAGTTCCTGTTGGCCTTGAACTCACTATGTTGCCCAGGCTGGCCTCAAACTCAACAGCAGTCTTCCTGCCTTAGCCTCCCGAGTGCTGGGATTACAGGTGTGCATCACCATGCCTGGCTTCTAGAAGAAAGAATATATATTTTAGAGAAAGTTACCTTGAGAAATGAATGAGTTACTTCTTGCCCCTAAAAAGCATCTCTTTTGCTTTTTCATTAATTTCTTATGCCAGTTTTTTGTTTGCTGGTTTGTTTTCTTTTACGCGGGCTGTGTAGCCCGGGCTGGCCTCAGACTTCTCGTTCCCACAGCCTCCTAAGTGCTGGAAAATTGCGGGCATGTGCCATCATATCTGGTGTCAGTGAATCTGACGTTGATTCTTTGTTATGTTTTCGTATGCTGAATCTTTTCCAAGATAGAGGAATAATAATGCTTAAGAGAGGTGTTAAAGGTTTTAGCTAGGTGAGTTGGTTTTCCCACAAACTATTTTCCTTTCAGTGGATTTTTTTCCCTTCCAGTTTAAACTAATGGAAGGAAAATTATAATGCGATGATGGATAGAAAATTCATAATGACAGAACTTTTTAGGTTTTAGGTACATATTGCAGCGGCAGCACAATCTAGGGGAAATAGGAGCCTAGAGTACTCTGTATATTTCTGCTCATTTCCATTTATTTCTTGTTTATCAGAGTGGACTTCCCTATGTGGAGGTGCTGTGTAAAAACCGGTATGTGGGAAGAACCTTCATTCAGCCAAACATGAGATTAAGGCAACTTGGCGTTGCGAAAAAGTTTGGAGTATTGTCAGACAACTTTAAAGGCAAAAGAATTGTTCTTATAGATGATTCAATTGTGAGAGGCAATACCATTTCACCCATAATAAAATTACTCAAAGAATCTGGGGCAAAAGAGGTATGTAATATTAAAATGTTCTAAAGTACCAGCAGTTAATAATTAACAATATGATCTTGGCATAAAAATTGCAGTTCAGTGCATTGGATGGATAGTTCAATATAATAGCTTAATTTTTCATACTTAGTTGTTTTATGTACATGTGCTGCCGAAGTGAGCACACCAGATCCTTTTATGAAAAACCAGCAATTTGGAGAACATAGAATAGCCACTGTTAGACTGTATGCTGAATTGGATCCTAAAAATAGTTAGATGTAAAAGCCTACATCTTGGGGCTGGGGATTTAGCTCAGTAGCACAGCGCCTGCCTGGCAAGCGCAAGGTCGTGAGTTCAATTCTTGGTACCGGGGAAAAAAAACCAAAAAAAGTATTGCTTGTTTTCTCTGTTTGAAGACCCAGAATTAATTTGGTGGAATAAATCTGGCCCATTAAATTATTTCATTGCTTTTGTCTCTTGAAAAAATTTTTTCACCTTATTTTTTTAATTGACAAACTTACATATATTGATGATATGTAGCATGATAGTTTAGTACATGTACTGTATCTACATACCTTGTTATATTATACTTTGGTCATTGTGCTTTGCAAATATTGTGATCTTTAAAAACTGAAGGTGCTCAGCACCCCTGTGCTGAGCAAGTCCATTGACATTGCTTTCCCACAGCATGTTCTTGTTTAACGTCTGTACACACACTTCCTCACTGGTGGGTTAATCCCATTACCTCCCTTCCACCCCCCATGCACAGGCTTTTTTATTTTAAATTTTGACCCAGGTCTTAAGTTGCCCAGGCTGGGCTTAAACGTGTAATTCTCCTGTAACCAAACCTGTGATATACTGAGGTATGACTGTATTAAGTTATATTTTAAATGTAAAGCTTATTCTAACTTCAGATATTGAGTAGTTGAAATTACAGAAGTGAGGTGCCATTTGCAACTAATAGTTGAGCAAATCTAAAAAAAAATCAGAAAATGAGATATAAAGCAATAAGACAGTCTGTTTAGACTGTTTGAAAGATAATTATGATTATGATTTTCCAGCCTTTTAGTGACTTAATGACTGGTTATATGATTGTGATAATCACCTTGGAATCCTAAAATTACATAGTAGGAACAAAAACATAAAATAAATTCAACATTTGTTACAACAATAAGAAGGAGCGGACAAACATAAAGAACCTGGAAATGGGTCCAGGATCCCCCTGTAGGGAAACAGTTTAGTACAGTGACAGGTCAGTGAGACGAGACACGATGGTGATGTAAAAACTACACAAAGGCTACGAAACGAGGCAGATCTTCTGGGAGAAAGTTGTAAAAATACATGTGCACACTGATTATAGCCGTGTAAATAGCCCTGCCAGAGGGTAAAAAATAATAATGGACAAAACTAATTCTATTATGGTGGTAAGGTTTTCTTACAGCCTGGTAGATCATATGCCATCTTTCTCATACCGTAGATAAAGAGATCAGCAGAAGCACTGTTCAGGTCTTAACAAGAGAAGACTTAGAGCATCACTGGGAATTTAATGAAATGTAGGAGATCTGAAGAAAAAAAATGTCTTGTTACTAGTGAAACAAATTATATAGTTTACTTTGTTTTTAAAAAAAAATTTTTTGTCTTTTGAGCCAGTTTCACTGTGCAGTTCAGGCTGGCCTTGAACTAACAGCGATCCTCCTGCCTCAGCCTCCCAAATACTGTAATTACAGGCATGTGCCACTATGCCTGGCTATAGTTTACTTGTTTTTAATCATACTCTGTTACAGTACATTCTCTAGAACAGTTTTATGTTGTATTCCCCCCACCCCCCCAACCCCCTGGTACCAGGAATCGAACTGATGACCTTGCACTTGGCAGGCAGGCACTGTGCTGCTGAGCTAAATCCCCAGCCCCTTATGTTGTATTTGATCTGGGAAAAAGTGTTGATAATTATTCTTTCTGTATGAAATGATTTCTTCCCAAGGTGCATATTCGAGTAGCTTCACCACCAATCAGATATCCATGCTTCATGGGAATAAACATTCCCACAAAAGAAGAGCTCATTGCCAATAGACCAGAGTTTGCTCATCTTGCAGAATATCTTGGTAGGTATTCCTATTTCTATGGACTTTATTCCTAACTGGTTTTTTTTGTTTGTTTGTTTGTTTTAGTACCGGGAATTGAACTCAGGACCTTGCGCTTGCCAGGCAGGCACTTACGCCACTAAGCTAAATCCCTGGCCCTCCTTAACTGTTCATTAACAAAGTCCAGAGCTTGTCAGCCTATAAGAAAAAGTGGTGCGGGCCCCTCTTGCTCACTGCTCGGAAGAGCGGGCAGGGCAGGCAGGTGGGAGCCGGGGTGAGGGCGGTGCTGGAGGGCGAGGAGGACGGGAAGCCGGAGGAGCGGGAGAGGGCTTCTGGGGAGAGCCCACTGCAGTCAGTTAAAGCCATGCAAAGTCAGGTCCCAAGAAGAACAGTCAATTTTATTATAGATTCAAATGGGATAATTGGGATGTGATACAGATTAAAAAGTAAGATGCTTAGGTAAGCTTATCTTTAAAAATGAGACTTGGATATCTAAATTACCCTGTGTAAGACCTTTACCTTTCAAAGGCAGAGGATATATAAACTATTTAAATGTCACAGGATGTCCTGTTTGTTGTGCACTGGTACCCAACCCTGGTTGTTGATGGCCGCCGTTTCCTTTGACCGTCTGCGTCTGTGCCTTACACTTAAACACTCCGAAATCACCTCCACAGGTGTCACGCTGTGAGCACCGCTGTACATGTGTTATCTGTGTTACAATAATCCCCACCTTACAAAGGAAAGACTTAGGAGAAGTAAACTGAGTTGAGGTTAAATGCAAGATCCAATCTTCCTTGTCTTTAAAATGTGTTTTCTCAAGCCGGGCATGGCGATTAATAGCTATAGTCCCAGCAGTTGGGAGGCCGAGGCAGAGGAGCTCAAGTTCAAGGCCCGCCTGGATTACATATTGAGATCTTGACCAAAAAAAAAAAAAAATCTGTTTCTTCAATGAAGCAGGTTGCTCGTCAAGCCTTCTAGACTTGAAGTATCTTTTGTTTTCAGCTGTTACCTACTAAATATTTAAAAATTTTAAGAAATCAGTGCTGAGTCTTGATATGTGTGTCTGCCTGTCTGTCTGCCTTTGTCTTTTAGTGAAACGCTGAAGAGGGGAAGTTATGTTCTGACTTAAATTATACTGTTTGTAATTATTGAAACTTTTCTTCCTTTGTAAAGGCAATCAAAAACCTTTCTTCTCTCTTTCCTCCCACAGGAGCAAACAGTGTTGTGTATTTGTCAGTAGAAGGACTGGTTTCATCTGTACAAGAAGAAATAATGTTCAAAAAACGGAAAGTGAAAAAACACGATATTATGATTCAGCAAAATGGAAATGGTCTGGAATATTTTGAAAATAACGGTCACTGTACAGCTTGTCTCACAGGAAAATACCCTGTGGACCTGGAATGGTAACTGGTCGGGGCAGATGATGTTCTTCAGGATGGAAAGTTGTTAAGAAATGGTTACACATGGTCTGTTCACTCAGTCGGCAGAACATAAAATGCCACATGCTTATGTTTACCTTTATAATTTTGAGATTTTTTTTTTCTGAAAAGGGTACCAAATGGTGTAATTGAGCTTTGCTCGTAACATAATACAACATGTGGTGTTCTTTTTTTTAATTGCATTGGCTGTCCTTTTCATGTGGTCAGAGAAGGCAGGTGTGAGTGCTGCTTGCCAAGTCTATTAAAGGGTTAGATTGTGAGGTTGGAGCCAGCTAGGAGGTGTGACGCAGAGCAGACAGGCTGATGAATACGACCTCGTAGGAACAGTGGGAGTTGGTTCAGCCCCTCGTGTGTCTAGCCGCTCTTTCAGACCCTAGTTTTGGCCTTGGCTTCCCTGTCTGTCCTCAACTTTTTTTAATGGTACTAAGAATTGAACCCACTGGGTGCTGAATTAAATCCCCAAGCTCCCCCGACCCCCTATTATGGCTGTCTGCCAAGCTTCCCAGGCTAGCCTCCCTCAAACGTGTGATACCCCTGCCTCATCCTCCCTAGTAACTGGGATTATTGGTATGTTTCTGGACATTTAGATAAACAACTCTTGAAATTTTTAAAGATGGACAACTCTTTAAAAGGAAAAAAGCATCTTTTTGTGCCTCAACACACCCTATGCCGTGAGGTACACTCTTAACAAATAATAGGCATGTGTCATGTACTTCTGACTTCTGAGGTAGTACATGATCACTTGCTTTTTTGAAATGAGTTTGTAATTGAAATTTCATTGTGATAGAGGGATACATGGAGTTTAGCAGATCTTTGCCTCTCTTTAGATGCCCCAAGAATGTTTATAAAAAATAAATCTGGCGGGCATGGTGGCGCATGCCTGTAATCCCAGCACTTGGGAGGATGAGGCAGGAGGATCACTGAGTTTGAGGCCTGGCTGGGTTACATAAACAAGTTCAAGGCCAGCCTGAAGTACATCGTGAAGACCCTGTTTCAAAAAAAAAAAGATCTGGTTGAGTTTTTCCTACACTTGGCTAGAAAGTGTGATCTAAAATATATACAAATAACTTAATACTTTTGTTATACTCTCCTTTTTTTTTGGTCTTTTTGAGACAGGTTCTTGCTATGCAGTTCAGGCTAGCCTTTAACTCACTTTGTAGCCCAGATTGACCTTGAATTCACAGGAATCCTTCTGCCTCAGCCTCCTAAGTGCTGGGATTACAGGCACTCGACACCACGCCTGGCAGCTTAGTACCTTTGAAATAAAAACAATTTCTTACTTTTTTCTTTTTCTTTTTTTGTGGTACTGGGAATCAAACTCAAGACCTTGCAGTTGCCAGGCAGGCACTGTGCTGCTGAGCTATATACCCGGCCCAGTTTCTTAAAATTCTTGCAAACCCATTATCCTTAATTAATCAAGTGCTTGATCATTTGCAGTCATAAATCCTTATATATGTATATATGTATATACACTTCCTTATGATTGAGATTAAGTGATCAAATAAAACAGTAGGGACCAATTTTCTTTGAGGATCAAGGAGACAACTACTTTTTTAGAACGAGAATGCCCTTACCCAAGCATCAACTTAAAATTACCTTTTTCTATTTTATTTTATTAGGTGCTAATAAAATTTTATTAGCGCTGGATTTTTAAAGGTTTTTGTTTGGTTTTGTTTTTTTGTAATTCAGATTAAGTAGATGCTTTGTCTACAAACTTCTGTTTCTGTAAGATTTTTCAAACCTAAAAGTGTGTGTTTGTATGTCATGATACCACAGTTGGATGTATATAGTGTGCAGGTCCACTTAGAAATGTACTATTTATGAGTAGCTGAAATCATCTGTGTTTGGTATGTAGTCTCATGGTTATGTTATGGCAGGTCAAGATAAATGTTGACAGTTCTTTAAGATCATGTGCCGTAGTGGCTCACATGACCCTATGACAGAGGCACGGGCAGACCGGCGCTTCAGTGCCCTGGGACCATTTCAGCGTGTGTGTGTGGCCTCTTATCTTAAATGTATTCCCCATGGCAGCATGGAGGAGGTAAGACCTGTGGGTCAGTTTGAAATGGCCTTACTTACATTTGATGTTTTAAAAACAAGAGACTCAGGGAAAGTATTAAACCAAAATATCTGATTTGAATTTTATGTTTTCCTTAGTTTTTATTTTGTTTTATCAGGATGCTTTTGTAAAAGAAAATGCTCTTATTATGGCTTGATAATTGTACACATTTAATATTTCTGTCATGATCCTTTACTTCACAAGGTTCTAATGTTTGCATTATTAAATTGCATTTTTTTATCAATTTAGTTTCACTATGGTTTAACTGCTTTGAATTTATATGAGTATTGTAAACTAGAGAGAAGAGGAAACCTGTTTCCATAGGACCTGCGTTGGGAACTAAAGCAAGCTTACTTTTCTGTGACCTCTTTGTGACCCATTGGTGACGAATATATGTAATAAGTATGTTTATGTGTGTGTGTGTGCTTTTTACACAGTCACATGTAGTGCATTTGTGGTGAAGAGAATGAAGACAACGTCAAGGCTCCGTCTTTGGCACTGCCCAGGCAGATCTTATTTCTCTGATCCAGGCATTTCAGTAAATAGGCCATCTCTTAGGAGCTTAGCCAAGTTTCTGGGGAGTAGAAGGAGCAAATGAAGTGCACAAAAAAATCAAGTGCTGGGCCTGGGGATTTAGCTCAGCGGCACAGTGCCTGCCTGGCAAGCGTGAGATTGTGAGTTCAATTGCCGGTACTGAAGAAAAAAAAAGGTATAAAATCAAGTGCTTTAAGCACGGTCATAGGGACATTTTTTGGAAATACTTGGAGAAATGAGGTTTACATTCTCAAAGTGTTTGTCTACTAAGAAAGTGCTTTGAGAAATCAAAACAGTGAAATAGGGGCATAAACTGTGGTACATCCGGACAGTTGACTATTACTCTGTGCTAAAAAAGACATGCAGCCAGGCGTGGTGGCACACACCTATAATCCCAGCACTTGGGGAGGCTGAGGCAGGAGGATCGTTGTGAGCTCAAGACCAGCCTGAACTGCATGGTGAGACCCTGTCTCAAAAAGACAAAAAATAAAAAATAAAAAGACATGCATTGTCAAGTTACGAAATGACAAGAAATTTCAGTGCATCTTAGTAAGGAAAAGAAGCCAGTCTGAAAATGCTTGCTGTACACCGTATGACCCCAGATATGCAACAGTCTAGGGAAGGTCAGACCAGGGGGACAAGAAAAAGGGGGGGGGTTGCCAGAGGTTAGTAAGGCAGAGGAGGATTTGGCAGGACAGTGAAATGCACTCCGCCTGACACTGCAGCGCAGCAGTGGTGCAAACGTGCAGCCCTAGCAGGATGTTGGTACTGGGGGCTGCAGGGGCAGAGGCACCGGGGAGGTAAGGAAGAGCTTGTGTGAAGTGTAGAGGCCCCCTAGATCTCTTGGTATTACTGTAACCTGTTCTAAGAATTTGTGTGGGAATTAGCCTGTTTTGCCATGAACGTAACACTTGTTCAAAACAAAGTTTATTTTAGAGCCAGATGTAGGGGTGCATACCTATAACTCCAGCACTCAGGGGGCTGAGGCAGGAGGATTGCTGAGTTTAAGGCCAGAGCCTGAACTACTTGGCGAGATCCTGCTGCTGCCATGTCCCCCCTAAATATGTAAATAGACGTTACTGTTCTCTCCATTATATCCACATTAAGTTTTTTGTCTGCTAATCTGTATTTTCAGTAATTCATACTCTAGCATACAAACCTCAGAAATTTCCTTCTTTCCTGTAGAATCTAGCAAGTACATTTCAACAGGTAAATAATACATCAAGCTTTTTTTTTTTTGGTACCAGGAATCGGACTCAGGACCTTGTCCTTGCCAGACAGGTGCTGTGCCACTGAACTGTCCCCCTGGCCCCTCAAGCCTTTAAATACTGCTTCACACCCTTGCCCTAGAGCAGTGGTGGCAAACCTATGCCACACGTGCTAATATAGGAGTTGTTTTTTCTCAACTGAAAGCTCAGTGTGCAGGTTTAACTGCAGTGTTGGCACTGTGTGGTGGTGACCTGTGGGTTGCAGTTTGGGCGCACGCCTCCGAGACGTCGCCATCCCTGCTCTCCAGCCTACGGCATGCTTGGATCTCTACCACTGTCATCTTGGCTTCCAGTGGAACTAGTCAGCTCCTCTAGGAAAGCTGCCAGTGTGTTCCGGTCAGCGTGAATGCGTAGCCTTCTCTGCAGAAATATCCACCTGCTCTTTGGATACTTTATAGGGAGCTGTAGTGTACAATGCAAGTCTGGTTTTTTTGTTCACAGAAATTGTTTTCTCATGTAGCTGGGACTTGGTGGGATGGCAGGAACCAGTGGATTCCTAGCAGTAACCTTGGGATTACAAGTTGTACCACAGTGCTGAATTCCCTGCAGCGTGGGAAAATGGAGAGTGATTACACAGAGTGGTCCCAAGCACTGCTCCTCAGCCACGGCGGTTTGCTTCATTGAAAATCGCTTGTTTGGCTCTGGCCTTGACGCATGGCTGGCTATGGTGCGATGGGATGGTGTGAAGGTCGATGTTCTGTATCAGTTTGACTGGGCTGTGGTGCTCAGTTGCTGGTTCAAATGTCTGTCTATGTGTTTGCTGTGAAAATATGTTTTAAGTGATTAGCATTTTAATCAGTAGCCATTTGAGTAAAATAAATTGCCCTCCCTAATGTAAGTGGCTTCATCCAACCAGTCAAGTCAGGCCTTAAAAAGCAGACTGGGGTTTTCGGAAGAGGGTGGCCTTAAGACGGGAACATAGGAACTCTGCCTGAGTTTCCAGCTGCTGACCTATAGGGTTCAAACTCAAGTCTGCAATTCCTAGCCCGCTGGCCTGCTCTATGGATTTTACACTCATTAGTTCCCACAATCGTGGGCCAATTAATCTTTTTCTAGATACTTCTATGCCACTGGTTGTTTCTCTTATACTACAGGTTCACACTCTTGCAAATAGCGTTCTACCACTGAGCCACATTCCTAGGCCTTTTTATTTTTTTTCATTTTGAGGCAGGGTCTCTTCAGTTGCCCAGGCTTGCTTCAAACTTGAGATCCTCCTGCCTCAGCCTCTTATTGTCTGAGATTACAGGCCTGTGCTACCATGCCCAGAAAAAGCATTCTTGCACTGTCACCTACCAAAAACATGGCCTGAATTTTTGCTGGTTTTTGATCAACTGAACACTATTAAAGTACACAGTACCCCATTGTCCCAACTGCGAAAAGCACCTAACAGGACATTCCTTTGGAATAGGGTCACCCATTTTCAAAATTAACATAAAAAATTTTTTTTGGTAGGAAGCACCAGATCGTGCTAATAGTATGTGACTGGGTGAAGCGGGTGCTGTGTATCAGCAGCGTGCAAGAGGCCTTCAGCACTTCCCTGCTGTTACAGCACTAAGTGGAACGGAGTAGGGAAGAAAGGTAGTTGGAGAAACAGATGCACAAAACATGGATCTCTGCTGTCAAGATGCTCAGTATTCAAGAAGTCAGACTCAGATAGTGCAGCTGCAACAGGCGCTGCAAGAACTACATATCACTGTGGGAGAACGGCTCTGGGAGTGGACCCTCGGTAAGAGAGGGTAACTTGTTAGTGTTTCAGGGTGAAAAACAACTTCATTACTCATGGCAAAATCAGAGCTCCCTACTAGTATCAGTTTCCCATGGCCCAAATTCCACAGGGGTGGGCCTAGATAAATGTCTGGGCTCTTACAGGAGCGTGATAGGTACTATTTTTGGTTCGGGTTTTTTTTTTTTTTTTTTTTTTTTTTTTTGTCTTTTTGAGACAGGATTTCACTATACAGGTCCAACTGGCCTTGAACTCACTTTGTAGCCCAGGGTAGCCTCAAATTCACAGTTATCCTCCTGCCTGGACCTCCTGAGTGCTGGGATTACA